ATGAACTAGATTTACATGATGAGTAAATATGAACTAGTTATACACGATGAGTAAATATGAATTAAATTTACATGATGAGCAAATATGAACTAGATCTACATGATGATTAAAAATGAACTAAATTTACATGATGAGTAAATAAGAACTATTAGCATGATGAGCAAAATGATTTATTAAATTTACAAGATGGGTAACTATCAGACATGACTATTTACATGATGGATATATATGAACTACCAGATTTACATGACAGGTAAATAAGGAATAGGAACAACCAGGCGGAACCAGAGCGTTCATTAGCACTAACCTTTTAAAATATTGTAACGCAAGAGAAACGAGGAAAGTAATTTAAATAGTAGAGTAATTTATTAACGCTCATAAAATAGATACAATATAAGGTGTGCTGAATTTTGCTATGCTAATGTTTAGTTACATAATTGTTATTAGAGTGAGAATTTCTTATATTGGCGTGATTGTGCACACCTACATAAAATATGTAACTCATTTAAATTTTTTTCGGGTTTTAACATTTATTGTGCTGCGTTAATTGAAAGGTGAATTTATTGAAATTATAGTTAGATAACTTAGGCTTTGGTAATTACTGGGCTTTATATATTTGCGAAAGATGTCGGAAGTGGTTCTGAAAATGTGGAGTAATAAAATTGAAACTCTTTAGTCATAGTTAATTGGGTTTCTTGGAGAAAACTCTCAAGTTAAAACTTGCAGTAATTAGTAAAGTTGAATGAATCAGTAAATATGCACTGTTCTTCAAGTTCTACCATTTTGGTCAACAAGTTCCATTTACCATTTTTAATAAAGTTCACTAAATAATTGATCACTAATTGTCCCAATTGTCAATGATTATATTTATCTTATATTTTTATTTTATTCTTACAAAGTCCCATTTCTAAAACTTCCATAACCTAACCTAACCTCCACATTTTCCAAGTGTACCAAACATAAACACGTAATCGTAAATCGGTAGTGAAAATTGTTTCAGCCTCGCCGCGATTTTCCCCTAATCGCGTTAACTCGCGACGTCAGCCGCTCTTAAAAGCATTGTTTGCAAGCACAGTTAGCGTCGCGAGCAAAGGTCGCGACGATTCGCGGAACGCATCGAAAGGCGATCGATCCGGTCGAAAATTGCGTTCCCAGAAGGTGGAGTGCTGCTATTTACGATCTAGGCAGTTCGCGTTCGAAACGTGCGTTCGATTCACGTCACGTGCGAGAAACTATCGGCGTGCTTGTGTTTTTTTCTCCTCCGGTTGGTCCGCTCGAGGAAATTGTTCCCGCGGCGAGCGCCGTGCCAATCGCATTCCCGACGCCGGCTCGAGGAAACGTTGCCCGTGTTCGGTGCTCGAACTGTTCGCGAAATTGATCGACGCTGTAAATCGATGACCGCCGTGTTGCGAGCTTTCAACGATATACTACACGAGCTGGTTACACCTAAGGATGGGATCAAGTACGCGGAACGATGGAACTCCTGAATCTCTTAATGAGAGAGTTATAACGAGCGATCGTCACTTTGAAAAATTACTTCAGACAGCACAATTAAACCATCAGGGTTCTGGGAATTCGATGTATCGACGCGAAATGAATTGGTTCACATTTGTTTCTCACTTTGCGAACGTCATTGCGATCCTTGAACAGTTCGCATCGATACACGTTATGCAAACTCCTTGGGTCAATCTTCGAGCCGTATTGTCCATGCTATTTAACAACAGTGTTTCTCGCAACGTATTTATAACAAGAAACAAATAACAAGTCATAAATTCTGGGATCGCTCGGTTTTCCAATAGCGACACAAGCAATCATTCTATGTTCACCAGCCTCATTCGTCATCGTACCCACAAATATTCAATCGCCGCGTAAACCTGAAACGATTGCAAAATTTCTACTCATCAGAATTCATCATTCCGTGTACATACAACGTTAATATCTATATTCGTCGAAATTTGACCGGCTACCCACATTCGAATTAACTTTAAAACATCGCTCATTAATCTCGATCGCCTACGCTTCTCAAAACAATCGTCAAATCTTCATTTATTACTACTCGATTTATGTGAAATTGTTGGAGAACTATTGTGGGAGAGGTGGGAGATTCTTTGGATTCTTTGGATGAAATTTATGTGAAATCATTGCGAGATAAATATGGTGGAAAGATAGGAGATGTAGAGGTTAGGTCTCGTTAAAATCTCCTGTGGATTCTTCTAGGTTCTCCAAATTCTCATGGGATTATCAGGTTTATCTAGTTCTAAATTCTTCAAGAATTCAGGTGTACCTTATATTCATCTGAACTCCGCTTTAAGCTCATTCTAAATTTTCCTGGGCTAACCCTAACTTTCCTAACTTTCCTAAGTTTCCTAACTTCCTAAATCTCACCTGAGCTATTCGCTAGGAACTGCTTGCTACATCCCTAGGTTTTTAGGTTTCTTTAATATTCTCAAAATGTCAAGCATTCTAAAATTGGAGAACAACTAAACTTGCAAGTACAAAACTATTATAACCAAGCAAAAAGATCAAGTTGTCTAAACACACAAAGTGTAAGTCGTGAGTCGCAGTATGAAACCACTCCGAAATTGAATCTTAATCGCTTTCTGACACCATTCCGATGTAGTCTACGTATCGTCGAGGTGCTGTTGCATTTTTCATCGGCAATTTGTCAAACTTTCCCGCTGCGACGGTTGCCGTTCACGATCACGGACAACGGTTTCCCCGCTGGCGTTTCTATATGGCGTTACAAATCGATCCGGGATTCCGGGCGTGCCGGCAGATTTGCGCTAATCTCGGCTTGTCCATGACGGATTTGTCGCGGTTTCCCGTAAATGGCGACCGTTTCAGCGCTAAGGAATGCACTGACTCCGGTCGATTCGTACTCCGACCGGTACGTGATTCGCGATACGTACGAGGACCGGGTCAGAAAAAGCGGGAAACGCATCGAACACGCGCTCGCACGGCTCTTATGCAATATTGCGAATCCTGTTGTCCACCTTGCTTTCTGTCTACGGTCAACATACACAGCTGACCGCGCAATCGATCCCGTTTTACTCCGAAACTGTTTTTTGATGAAAAATCACTTTCTGCTGAATTTCTAATTATATTCTCATCAAACACCATTACAAGTTTCATATTTTTAACGGATCCGAAAGTTACTTCGTGGAGAAGATAGAAATGTTTCAAAATTCTGTACCAAGATTATATTGTCCATAATTTATGATATCGAGTTCCTCTTACGGTTTATGCAAGAGGAGCCTGCACCAAAGTAAACGATGGCACCGTAACCTCTTTCGCACAGTCGCGCTGACAGCAAAGGATCATCTGGTGTACAGGAACCGTTTGCAACGCGCGATCTAAGATCGTTGCCGCGAGATTTGAGCGCGGGTACCGCTGGTCCGCTTCCATCTTGCGATCATTACCAGCTTGTCAACCGTACGACGTTGTCTCTTGATTCGTGCGATTAATCAACGCCGCGGGGAGCCCTCCTCGACATTTCAAATCTTTGATACGGAATTAGAAACATAAATTTCGTGTATTAATTTGTACACGGTACCATGGCGAAATAACGTGAAAAATGAGTCTCGAAGATAAAAATATCTGCTGCTATAATTCATGACAATACTCGAGTAATGAAATGCAGCGAGGTCGAACCGAAATATGAGCATGGACACTTTCATGACTCTTCACTCTCATTTGGGACGTGTACCGCTACTCGAGCTTTTGGGACCGTTAGTGGGCCGCCCACGTGGCCGCGTCAGGTGAAGCCCAGAATCCGGGCGTTTCCGGTTCGCGATGAATTATGAATGTCAAAAATTGCCGATCATTGTCTGAAAGTTGTAAATGCGGTATCGTTCGAGTTAATATCGTTTCGAAAGGTATTCGATGAAAAGATAACCGGCGAAGGATATCAGAGTACAAAGTCGGAGTCGAAGACAGACAGAGCAGCAAATTGTAAATTGGTTCGCGACGCGTGTGATGTCGGCCGACAGGCGTTCACAAGTTTCGCCGCCCTGCTCACCCTCTCGATCCCTCTATTATTCAACCTTCTGGCCGCATGCATGCTAATTCTCGTGACGCGCGTAACATTAAAGGCTGACGTTTAATCCGTTGGAGATCTGCGCGTGGCCTACGCGGACACGGTTGAATACACGCTCGACCCTTTATATGGCACGAACGACCCTTCCATTCTGGACGTATCTGGTGGAATCGTGGACGAAAAGAACGATGGTTTCCGAACCGTAGTTCGTTTCCACGAGCTCCTACGCCCGGTATGGAAGTTACCTGGATGACTTGCCTTTCGCGGAAACCGTGGCAAAAATTCGTCGCAATAACTCGCCTGCTTTCGCGGGGCAAATTTATTATCAGTCAGCCAGGCCACTTTTGCCGAGGATTCTTGTGGCGGTGCCGCGTTTTGTAGACCGTTTTAGTTGCCAACTGTTCGCCGTGTAACGGCGTGTCCTATTGTATCGACGGCAGTTCCTGGAATTTATGGTCGCAATTATATCGTTCATTTTCGAATTAATTTATCTTGTTATATGGCCATGGTGTACTAGGAAGTTCTCTTCCATCCTCGCGTGCCGATAATGCATCACCGAGGTACAGTGAACTTTTGCGGTTTAAATTTCGACGATCCTTTGCGTTCGGTTGTATAAGGATATGGGGATATTACAGATTTGGAGACACGAGGATAAATCTATATAGAAATCTATGCAAATGTAAATACAAGAATTTCAGAATATAAAGATCTACTCAGATTATTCCATGTCATGAACTACTTAACAATATAACAAACAATGCTATATAGTACTACAATGATACCTCTGACGCACAGCGTATTAAAAATCGATAACAACAAACATATTTATAACAAATGAATATTTCATAGCTCGTCATACAATAATATATTCCCTCCGTACACATGACATATCTAGAACTCAGCCGACACCTGAACAATGGCTGAAGCACTTGACTCACCATCCCGTCTATCCTTCTGTTTGCAGTCGTTCTTCGGGCGGACCTACAACAATCTGGGCAGCATATCGGAATGCAAGAACGGAGGGGTGTGCGTGATCAACAAGAAGAACCGCACCGCCTGCAAGGCGTGCCGTCTGCGAAAGTGCCTGATGGTCGGGATGTCGAAGTCAGGTTCGCGTTACGGGCGTCGTTCGAACTGGTTCAAGATCCACTGCCTCCTCCAGGAACAGACGAACGGTACCCAGAACGTGGCACCAGGAGCAGGTTCACCGTTCGGACCAGGATTCCTGCCGGGTTTCCTGCCGCAGGTGCAAGGTCAGCAGGGTAGCGGAGTATACAAGGACGGGAAGGATCGTGCTTCACCTAGTCAGGAGGACCTAGCCCTTCAGTCGCATCTGCTGCACGTGGCGATGCTGAAGCAGGAGCGCGAGAGGGGTAACAAGTCGCCCCACCCGGACGACGTGGCTCTTCAGAACCAGTTACGCTTATTGGCCTGGCAGAAGGAACGCGGGAGGGTGAGCGGCAACCCTCAGCAACCCCCTGGAACGCCACCCAGGGACACCACGCCTCCACCCTTCTACAAGCAGCAACAGCACCCCGGTTCGCCCATGTTCCCCATGAACTTCGCTCAGAAAGATGGCGTCTGCGTGCCGTCTAGTCCGTCGGACGTGTTCCGACCCTTCCTGCCGACGTACAAGAGGACGGCCGACACGCCGAGCGACAGTGGAGCATCCTCGGTGGACGGCGGCGACGGCCAGGACACCGAATCCAGGAGCAACTCGGCGTTGAGTTACTTCAAGACCAGTGCAGCATCCCCGACCTTGTCGGAACGAGAATTCCCTCCCAGGAAGATCAACGCCACCGTCACGCTGACGACGGGTTACCACAGTCACAGTCTAGGTCTGGTGTATCCACCGCCCGGCCTGGTGACACCAGCGGCGTCACAGCACTCGCCCAGAGGCGGCGATCTGCTCTTGGTCAGCCCCAGTCCAGGTGGTCTGGCCGTGGAACAGGATGAGCCCATCGACCTGAGCGTCAGGTCGAGTAGAAGTTCACCGCGACCCAGTCAGTCCTCGGAAGAGGACAACAGGTCGAACGACAACGAGTGCGATCGCGAGAGCCCCGCGAAGGAGGAGGCCACCACCAAGAGCAAACCCCTGGACCTGACGTTGGGAGTGAAGAGGCCGGCAGAGCTGCCCATGTCGCTGTGAAGCCTCTGAACACCTGGCAGGCCCACAACGGGCTGGTCCCGAATTTCTTTCATCACCCACCCCAGGGTGCGAGCCGAGTCCTCGTCGGAGATGAGCTTGGTCGACGGAGAATCGAAAGGAAGGGAATAGAAGGTTGCGAATCGGTTCTCTTATTGAGTGGAGAGGTTGAACGAGTACTTGGAGAATGTGATGCGAGGAGACGAATCGTTGCGGAACGACGATCGAACCCGCCACGAAAATGTGTTCAAATATGTACATAGGTTATTGAGCTGATCATGGAGAGATTTATTTATTGCGGCCATACGGTAGTAGCGTGGTAGGGATTAGGGCAATCCGAAATGTGGATTGGTTCATTGACGTAGCGCCATGGACGATGTTCATCATCACATCTCATTTTGGTAGTTCAGAAATTTTCAAAGTTAATCTTCAAAGTATATCCCTAAATTTTCAAGTTCATAAAAGGTATTTGCTCATGTGTGATGTGGGTCTGTAAGACTTGGCGTCTCGTAATAAAAAATCCTACCTACGCCCCTGCTAAAAGGTCCATCGAATGTGTAGTTTCCTGAGCGAACATGTAGAGGTCATGTCGTATGCGTATTATACATAGAATTTGTAAGCCCCTGTATAAAGAAACCGGAGAGTCGCGAATATACCGGCCAGTAGTGGAGTGCCTTAATATAATATATTTATATGAAATATTCTATATGTATATGTATGTATACTTGCAGCGGACCGCTTAAGATCCTTTATTATCATCTTAGTCGCGCGCGATCGATCGAGCGTCGTATTTTCTGTCCTTATTGTACGGCGAGGCGTAGAAGCGATAACCGGACGATTGTAAACGCACCTTGAGCATCCGCGAACCTGTCACAATGAGAGGCCAGTTAACGAGATAAGTGACGTCGTGTCGATGCTATAAAATCATGGTGCATCTTGTAAATAAACAGAGGTAGAGGGAGAAACTCGTCTGCGAATCAGAGTATCGCTTCTGTGCTCTCGCTTGACGTGAGCGCCACTCGACTGGCGTAATCGACCAACGTTTTATTCATGTTTTCTTCTTCCGACTTTTTATCATTTTGTACATAATAGCATGTAAACGGTGAACACGAGCGGCCAGTACCTAAACGTAACGCGAAATTAAATATTTTTGTTTAATCTACACTGTGTCATTTTTCGTCATTTATCCCTGATACCATTGTCTTTTGATATTAGTCCATTTGCAGTTAGCACTTTAGTACATCTTGAGTAAGTATAGGTACTTTTGGTAGTGATAAGTCGAGATTCTGAAATAATGTTTAACCTGTTGCCTTTGTGAGGTGCATTCTGGGGTGCTTTCAAGATTAATCATTTTTCAAAGTTTAAGAGTTTAAATTCAAATTGAGTATTAAGAATTATTTAAAATCTCTAATTATTAGTTTACGAGATACTATTAAAATTTTTCAAGTTTGCAACTGAGAAATATATAATACTAACAAGATTATGTTGAGCAACTGCATTGACTACAAGGCATTCAGAAGTACTCTAATTCTCAAATCTATAATTCTGACATTAAGCTAATTCTTGCATTAAACACAATAAATAAATTACTTAATCAATGCTTTACTCTTCGACAGCCTTGAGAGGCAAAGTCACAAGATAATTAATATTCCACCCACGTCATAGACGAGACTAAACCACTTTCCGTAGAACAGTTGCACTTCAGAAAATAGAACATTCCTGAGAATCGTCAGCAACCGGAATATGCTAATATTTCTCGAAGCTGAAACCACCGAAAACGAATCATCGGTTTCTGGAAATCGGTAACTGGTTCGCGTCCGACCTTGAGGATCATCGAACACGCTTTGTTCGCTCGGACACATATGCTGGCTGCAGTCGCTATTAATCAATTGCAACAGGAAGCGCAAGAGCATTGCAAAATCGTCGAGTTACGGATACCTGCCCACGCGGATGACCTTGCCAGGTCGAACGTTCCTTCCACGTCCGGATCGCACGAGATCTCGCTGTCCTCCTCGTCCCTCGTCCACCGCTTGGCTCCGCTCCACGTGACGCGTCTTCTCGGGCCTCGATTATCGATGCTAATCGAGCGTGGCTTCCAGAGACGTTCACGGCGCGATAATCGTTTTACGTAACACGCGAAAGCCGATAGCCGGTGCAAATCTTTTGGATTCGATTCGTTTTATTCTCTGCCGACATCTCTGATGATTTTGGAGGTAATTTTATTTTATCGCATTTTGGAGATAGGGAATGTTCAAGTTTTTAAATCCTTAAATTTTGTAAGTTACATTACTAGATTCTTTTATTCTTTAGGATACTAGGTCCTAGAATCTGAAGGTTATTAAATCATCACGGTTGTCATCTACGATCTGAGTTCTTAATTTGCTAGGCACTGAAATCAGTAGATCCCCAAATTCCTAGTTGAATCCCTACATTTATCTACAAGTATCCAGGTAGCATAGGTTTCTAAATACCTAGACCTCCTGACTGTACCCATTGCAGTAACTAATCAGAGATTGGTGTGGACTAGGCTCCTCATTATTCCTCTATCAACTTTCCAATTCTCCAAATTCCTAAATTCGTAATTTCATAAATTTATAAAATTGCAAACTCATCTCAGTTAAATGTCTAACTTTCCCAAGGACCAATTTCGAAGTAACAAATTTCTCAAACGATCCGATTGCCATTGTATTATAAGCGCGATGACGTTGAACCTTTCTTCCCCATTCACTCCGTAGAAGAGTTGATCCCAGACAGACACTTGGATAGTGTCCCACGTCAGCAGAACTCCGTAGAACCGTGTATAGCGTTGCTATCCCGGATAACAAACGGTCGAGACTCGAAGCAGTGCGTCAGTGTTTGCAACGACTGGTTGCACCAGCAATAAGCAATCGCTTAGACCCGTCATGACTCTATGCATGAGAGTTGGCCAACGCTGGCACACGCAGGACGATTTTGCCCCGACCGGTGTGCGACTCCTCGGCCTCTTGCCGAGTGAAATATCGACGGACCTTCGGTTACCGGTCAGCTTTCGAGAGATCGACGTTGGTCGTTCTTGATACGCTCTGCGGGAGAATTTAGAGCGATCCAGATCGTGAGGAGACTTCTGCTGGCACCGTGTATTAAGCTCCAATCGAAGAAACGATCGTGCTGACAGCGTTCAGCTGGATTCATTTGATCCTTGTATACCGATTAATCGAATAATTTATTGCATGTCTCACATTGAATATATATCATACAAAACATTTTTATATATTACAAAAAGTATTATTGCAAATAATAAGCAAATTAAGTATATTAAATATTGTATATTCGGTTGGATATCGTTATAGAATGTTTATAACGTGCACAGAACGTTCATAAATTATTATGACAAATTTATTGGACGATTCTAAGAAGATACAATACGGTTGGTTAATGTAATACGGTAAGAAAATTAAGCATATATCATGATTTTATTATGTAATCACGCATCGCGTACGATCTCTTCGACGTTCCATCCTTTTCAACTCTCTTTTTGCTCGTTGCACGTTGCTCTCGATTTCCATACGCGTCTGTAGAGCAAAAAGCCGGCATTAACATAAACATGCATTCGAATACAAAGTATAAATTTCCAGATGTTCTGATCTAATTATGAAACGTGTAATTAATTAATTAATACTGTAGTTAATAACCGGTGTGTTTATCGGATACGATCACTTTCTAGTCGAAATTCAGCTGTTTTTTGCAAAGGTATCACGAAGTCGTTGGACGAATTAATAAACCGGATTAAGGAATCGTTCACATAATCGCAAAGTTCATGACTCGAATCCGGTTAAACGGCACGAGCGATGTTAATAGACTCATTTGCGAAAAACAAAAAACCAGTTGGTGGTGCATTGGTGAAATTCCCGGGACGGCAACCGGAAGTGTTTTAAGATGCACCAGAGGCAGCCGAGCGAGATCGCGAGCGATACCTTTCAAGAGCTCTTTTCTCTTTCGCGAGGATCTGCTCCCCGAAAGGAGAGACACGCGTATAAAATACGAGAAACGGCCAGCATAGTGCACGGGGCTGGATGTCAACAGCTCTCCAGGGACCTAGAAGTCCATCGTACACGAGAAGCCATTGATCGACTACTTACTCACGATCTACGCGTTTCGAATAAGAAGTCGCGCAGCTCGTGTATACACAGCCTCGTATCTCATGTCCGTCCATTTTTTTCTCTTTTACCTCCCCACCTACCGTGCCTTTTCCCCGTTTCCCAGTTAAGCGAATTAACGAGCGGACAGGCGTAGAGGAAAAGGACAACCGTAATGAGCATTAATTGATTACGCCGGACGAGCGGACGCGCGCAACCGACGCTCGCGAACACGATAGCCGTGAGCCATGAGTAATGAGCCGCATCTTCGCGTGATTATTAATTCATAAAGACATCGTGTCGCGTGTGTGGGGATTGATAGACCCGTTGCGCTTGTGAAATCCTCCAACGGTTCTCTCGAAGGTCTCACTGCCTTCCGACGGGCAACTTCGATCCAAAGCAAAATCAACTTATCCGATACTACTTCGATAATATAAATCGATGAAAGTACGGTAGCAGATTGTTACATATAAATTGTAACTTCACTGACATATGTGAAGTGGGACAGTCACTGATCTTGAATTGATTTATTTGTTGGAAGAATCTAAAAGTTAGCATTTGTTTATATGTATACATGGACAGTCCTTGTACATGAAAATTGCACAAGTTGTACTATTAATATTAAGGTTACAACCTAGAAGTTCTAATGGCAGATTCTATCATTAAGTCTGCTGAATCTGTAGTAAACACTATTTCACTTCCCTCAATAGAAGAACAGCATCTTTACAATAATAAATTTAAACTACCTCCTTTTTTTAAAGTAGTGAATATTTTCATAAGCAGTGTTTAATTCTACCAGAAGCAAAATGATGAAAGCAGCATTAAGCTTTCGCTCCCGAACACTTTTTCACGGTTGATCGATCGGCTACCGAACGCGACCTTCTTTCGAGATCGAAGATAGACGGAAAACGGCTACTGTCGATGGGTCTCGATCGATCGAGGCGCGAGATCGTCGAAGAAGGAAGCCCGTGTGGCACGGTACACAGTCACGAGATTTCCGTGAGAGCCGACGTGATCGAAAAGCCAATATCCGTTGCGCTCGAACCCGACCGCAGGGAGAAACGAGCCCGATCCGCCTAATGAACCGATCGCTGTATCGATTAGCGCCGCTTAAGAGCGATCGATTGCGTGTCTTGTCAAATTTGTCAACGGGTGCGAACCGGCCGCAGACATAACGATCCAACTGGCCAGTTCGCTGTTGCGAAACGTCGACCACAATCGAGAGGAGATACAGGAGAGCGGGAGGAACACGTGGTTGATTGGCAGGACCAAAAATTTATCAAAAAAATATATCGAGGTGTTGACATTTGGTGTCATTTTACTGTCACTTTCACTTCTCAAGGAGACATTTTAACCTCCTAAAATATCGTGACGCACTCGTGACGCACCTTACTGTTCAGATACAACAAACCCAAATTAAACCCAAGTATTTGTATTATGGTTGGAGCTTAATACTAATTACAATTTTCATAATCAAAGTTCCCCAAATCTCCTAACATTGAAGCAATAGCTCTTGATTTAAAAATAAATAAAATATTGTAGGTTAGAATTAACCTTGAACGAACAATTATTATTTTATTTAGAAATGTTCCAGCCTTATTTTCGGAAACCAAAAGAGGTTAATACCGCTCGAAACCCTCCTTCATTCAGCTTGCACCTGGCGCATCGACCGCAATCTCGTGATTAGTTCCGACAAACCAACGAACCAGACCCAACCCTTAAGAGCTGCAATCTGGCCAGAAAATTTGTACGATCGTGCTACAGCGAACTACCGGTCGAAGTACGGCTGCTAATAAGACGTTTCATTTTTCCAAGTTAAGCCACCTGAGCAGCGAAGGATCCACGTGTTCCACCACATGCTTCCACGACCGCAACACGGCGGGCGCGTTCATGCTGCTCGATCAGCAATTTACGATCATCGAGGGATGCTAAAAGCGGAATCGAGCAGAGCCTGTTAAATACGAGGCGCGTTGCCGTGTTTCACCCGCGTTTCATTCTAGCCGCGCACCCTCTTCGATCGTTGCCCATGTGTTACAACGTT